GAATATGAAAATCTAACCTTAATTTAGAAATTACCGGCAATACAAAATCCGGCCACCTAATTGTTAACCTTAGCCGAGAGTGCATATGCTAATGATGTAATTTTAGCTACTGTATTCAATAAGTAACTGTGCAACGCAATTGCGCGAAGCCAGTAGTGATGCAATGGAGTCACTCCAATGATTGCCGTAACTATAGTAAGTAATATAACGATTATGACAGATAATGCGTTAATATTAATTCTCATTTTTCCGTAACCTACCTTCCCGAAATTCTATTTTCCGACCCCGTAATTCCGATATCCCTTTTTCCCGACAAGACATATGGGGTCTTTACCTTGAAAATGACCTTACGGGACTATGTAGATTTTATGATTAAAAATTAAAAATTCTATGGTGCCGGAAGCTTATACCCGACAATCACGTGAAATGTTTCAATTACAGCTGTTTTCATAAATTCTGGGACACCCCAAAAAAATTTGCCGAAGTCGATAAGTATTGATTTCGGTATGATCAGTAAGTGATCAGTATATAAAAAGAGTTTTGTACTACTGTTACAGTACAATACATTCGCAATGTCTATTCTTTCAACGCCTTTATTAAGTTTTCGTCTTAATGCTTGCCCAACATGTATGACATGCTTGGTTTGTACAAAAATTTATGGCAAAGGCTGCTCTTGCCAATCAATAGAACTTCAATGGAAGCGTAAAAAAAGCTCTGACCATAAGTTGGACTTTTGTTATAAACATATTACACAAAGAGGCGCTACCCAAAAAAAAGTTAAATATGATCGAGAATTTGTCAAGTGGTTTGAAACCAATGTAACACAAATTGAAACAAAAGGTCAAGACTTTATTAATATTTGCCGACAATGTCTTTATAATTATGATAAATCTCAAGGTAAAGTTTTTATATACGTATTTATAAATATAATTTTTATTTTAAAAAATATTTTAACTTTTTTTATAGGTCAAAAAGAAAACCAGGATAAATTAGATGAAAGCATTGAAACATACGATTTAACAAGCAAAGAGCTATCAGATTCATCAAGCAAAGAGTCATCAGATTCATCAAGCATAAAACCATTGCATCTATCTGTAACAAATACTTTGAACTTACCTGACTTGTCAAAAATGACAAATTATAATATTAAATTGGAAATGTCTATAGTAAAAGAGCCTGTTGTTAGTAAGTATAATCTGTATTATTGTATACAATTCATCTATTTTTTAACTTATGGCTATTTTAATTCTAGCATTTGTTACATTGGTATGTTATGACCGATTTGAGAAACCTCATAAGAAATTGGATGGTGCATTGGCAATTCCATATGCCCTTGACAACATTAAAGACTTTGGAAATATTGAGGAGGAGATTTTATCACGTACTCTTCCCAAACAGTGGGGAAAATTGAGCTTGGCCATATTTGCTATCAGCTTTCTAATATATCTAAAGCTGATCAGTATGATTTAAAAGCGGATGGAGCTATTATTGCATTTGCTACTGAAGCAAAATATAAAAAATATTCAGCTATATGTTTATCAGGAACATAAAGATGATAGAGCTAATAAAAGAATTCGTGTAAGTTATTTATATTATATTTTAATTTATATTATATATTAATTAATTAATAATTTACTTATTTATTATAGACACTTGAAACTGGATCAGATATTATTGATAAACTAAATATTATTAAAGAAAAAATTTATAAAAGTCTTCCATCATGCAATATACATATCCAAGGATGTTTAATTTCTGAAGATGGTCGACATTTGAAATTAAATAGTGATATGGTTACAATATGGGCTTGTACTATTGTAAATATCAAATTATTTATAATTATATTATGTATTTTTAAATAATAAATAAATTATTAACTATTTAAATAAAGTTTAATGAAATACAAGGTGTTGATGAAAAAAATCCACCAAGTATTCTATTATTTGACAAAACTAAGTATCGATATCCAATATCTAAATGAATTTCAAACATTGATAATTCATCAAGTATATATATTTATATAATTTAAATATTTTTATTTATTAAATATTTAATTTTAATTTTATATTTATAGTTGAACTTAATTCTACTTCTACAATTGATTCTTCAACTGCTATATCCGTGGTTGATTCAACTTCTGAATCTATAGTTAATTCAATTTCTATATCAATTAAATCAAAATCACCATTTAAAACTAACATTCATATTACTAATAATATGACATTTCAGGATTTACTTGCTTTTATATTTCCTAATGGTTCACCAAAAGAAAAGCGATTTCTTATTAAATTATCATTAGATATAAATAGTAAAACTTTTTTACCTGAGCAAATCATAAGTCAAATTTTTACAAAAGAACATATTGATATTTGGATTGAAATAGAAGATATTGAAATAAAATTTGATGATTTATTTGATTAATTAGCTTAGTATTACAATATAATTATATATATAATTTATAATATTTAATAAATTATTAATGTATATAACCAGAATGTTGATAACATGCATGTGCTAATTTTTTATTAATCATCATACAAGTAAGATCTAAAACTTCTAAAGGATTAGACATTGATTTAGCCCAAATTTTATTTTGCTATAAATAATTTTTTATATAAAAAAAAGTTTGTTCAATCTATTAAAAATTACAGTAAATTAATAATATTAAATTATTATAAAGTTATTATAATATAATTACTTACTGGGTTATAATCAGACGAATATGCAGGTAAAAACTCCAATCTGACTCCTTTTTCTTCACATATTTCTTCTAAATATGTACTTTTATGTATGATTGCATTGTCTAGAACTAATACACTATATCGCCCAGGAAATGCATTCATTTTTGGTAACTATATTAAAAATACTTTATTAATATTACAATTATAAATATTAATACATTAATATATAAATAAATAAATATTAAAATTATATACTAAAACAAATTCAATGAAATCATTATAATCTTTAGTATTCATAGAACCTTCTTGGATACTATAAGCCAAGAGACCATCAATATACAATTATAAATATTAATACATTAATATATAAATAAATAAATATTAAAATTATATACTAAAACAAATTCAATGAAATCATTATAATCTTTAGTATTCATAGAACCTTCTTGGATACTATAAGCCAAGAGACCATCAACATACAGAGCACCTTCAATAGTAAATTATTTTCCTCTGACAAAAAATATATATTTTTGGGCACGTAATCCCGAAAAGCTCCAGCCATAGCGACATGATAAGGTTCTTCTATTATATGCAGATTCATCTGAAAAAACCAATTGACTTGATGTATATTGAGACATTCGTATAACAAAGTTATCTCTATCAACTTTGTTTCTTTCTTTGACAAGTTTTGAAATCTATATATAATTAAAATATTTATATTATAAAAATATATATTTGTAAATTAATATAGTTAAAAGAACTTACTTGTTTATTTGTGTATCCAAGTCGATGTATAGCTCTCCAAATTATTGTAAGACTAATCTTGTGTCCTAACCATAGTTCCATTTCCGATTGTAATTCATACAAATACCAATCTGGTTTTTCTTTCATTAAAGTTTCAAGATATTTGATATCATCTATATTCAATAAATGAGATCTGCCTAAAAGCGATGGCAATTCTTCAACACAGCCATACTTTTGAAATTGCTTGAGAACACGACTAACCGAAGACCTGCTAACACCTAAGTGTTTAGCAATTACTCTAACTGACAAGCCTTCTAAATTCTTTTCAACTATATATGATTTGAAAGTATCATATCATAAATTTTATTATTATTATAATGTTCGCGTATACTTTAATTTCTTGATAAATCAAATTGTCGAATGTATATAGTATTTAAAAGTCTTGGATTATAAAATAAGTAAAATGAAAGTTTTTAAAGACACAAGCGAAAGTTAAAGTAGTGGTGATTAACAATTACAAATATTGATACAATATATTTAATTCTGTAGTGATTTAATAATAGTACGTATGTATTAATGAATTGAAATATTAGATATTGATTGATACCAGTACACAAGAATTATACATTTATATATGTTGTGCAACACCGAGATAAATAACTTATCGACTTCGGCTGAATAGACTTCGGCAAATTTTTTTGGGGTGTCCCAGAATTTATGAAATATATTTCGACATTCTTACGCATACTGCGCTAAAAGCATAGCATTTTTTTAAAATGCTAAAACTTTTTAAAGACAATTTTTTTCAAAAAAACTGACCGATAACTTTATACACAGAAGTGAGCTCTACAAAGATATCAGTTAATTTTTTTTAAAAAACTCTTCTATAGAAAATTATATTTGTTCGAAAAACCCCTCAATCTTTAAATCAGTATAACTCTTATAGAAAAACTTTTAAAAAAATTAACCGATAACTTTGTAGATCTCACTTCTATGTATAAAGTTATCGGTTAGTTTTTTTGAAAAAATTTGTCTTTAAAAAGTTTTAGCATTTTAAAAAATACATGCTTTTGACGCAGTATGTGCAAAATATATTAATTTCATTGATCAATTGTAGTCTCGCAAAAATTGAAACATTTTACATAATTGTCGGGTATAAGCTTCCGGCACCATAGCTATCTAATAATCCAATTCAAATAATATATATATATATATATTGTAGAACTCACTAAGCTCTACAAAATAAAAAAAATGTTTATTTGGATGGATTATTGGATAGCTAGAATTTTTAATTTTTATTCATAAAATCTACATAGTCCCATAAGGTCATTTTCAAGGCTAAGAACCATATTTCTGACAGTATATTTTACTGATAGAAATTTTTTACTGAATTTTTTCTTCCAGGCACAACTAATTCCCTGACAACCTGAATTTTTGAAAAATTTTATTCGACAGACTTTTTCACTGATGAAACCCTTTCTCCGAACTCCTGTTCCCGAAAAAAAAATTTCTGAAGCCTTTTCACCAAAAAATATTTTGATATAATTCTCCGAAAGTATGTTTTTCCAAAAAAGTAAAAAAAAATTTCCCATTGCCACAACAAAATTGGACCAGCAGATTCTCGATTTTGTTTGGCTAAGAGTAACGATCAAAAAATTAGACTGGAATTTTACTAATGAAATCATAGCAATAGCTGCCTATTACAGCTATTATCATAATTCCTGAATCACCTAATAAAAATTGGCTAAATGATTGTTTGGCCGATTTGGTTAAATTAGTGATTTCAGCATAATCCATTATATACTAAAAATAATAAAAGCTATTATGACCAATTATAACAATAATGTCCATGTTATTAAATTTTCATTCCAACGCTTGTCCAACATGCTTGGTGTTTAGTTTGCATGGAAATTTATGGAAAAGACTACTAGTATTAACCAATAAACCTTAGCAAGTAATTTAAAAAAGGGCCAGGTATAAATTAGACTTTTATAACAAATATCAAACAGGTGCCGCTATTAAAAAAGTTAATATGATCATGAATTTGTCAACTGGTTTAAAAATGAATCTCAGGTTAGGATTCTAGATGACCAAGACATTATTGATATTTGTAGAAAATGCACGAAGAATTATCAAAGTAAAAAAATTTTTATATTTATATTTATTTATATATATTAAAAATTTTAGTACTAACGATTAAAATTAGTTCATCCATTTGAAGCAAATAGTTTAGAAGACTTGCTGACACCAAGTGTTTAACAATTTGTCGAACTTATAAGCCTTCTAAATTTTTTTTCAACAATTTGCTAGCGAAGGTGCTTTGTAAATATCATTTCTAGAGATATCACAAATTTTTTGTCTTTGACAAGAAATGAAAAATAATTAGAAATAAATAAATGCCTTCGTTTGAACGAAAATGGATCTTTCAAAGAATAGGAATCGAAATTTAATTCAGATTTTTAAACCCGAATTTTCATTGAAAATAATTAAAAATGAATAAAGGCTTCGTTCAAATGAAAATAGATCTTGCCAAAGAATAAAATTGTAAATTTGCACAATTTTTTAAAACTGAATTTCATTGAAAATAATTGGAAATAAATAAAGGTTTCGTTTGAACAAAAATGGATCTTGCCAAAGAATGGGAATTGAAATTTTACACAATTTTTTAAAAACCAATTTTTTGTCTTCGACAAGAAATGAAAAATAATTAGAAATAAATAAAGGCTTCGTTCATTTAAATGAAAATGGATCTTGCTAAAGAATAGGAATTGAAATTTTACACAATTTTTTAAACCCAAATTTTCGTCAAAAATAATTAGGCTTCATTTGAGCGAAAATGGATCGTGTCAAA